GAGACAAGTCCTGGACCAACATGGACTGAAAGGACAGAGTCTTCATCCACACTGAGACAAGTCCTGGACCAACATGGACTAAAAGGACACTCAGTGAGGACAACGCAAAACTTCAGAAGCGACATAAAAACTAGATTCATTTATAAATGCACACAAGGACAAAGACCTTAAAGTTTGGAGACATGTCCAGTAGTCTGAGGAATCTAAAACTGAACTGTTTGTCCTTCATGTCCAATAATTACATTTGGAGGACAAAGGAAGACACCAAGATTCCAACTGTGAAGTACAGGGGTGGTAGCTTCATGATGTGGGGGGTGTTTTACTGAAGGAGGGACTGATGGACTTCACAAAAAAAGACAGCATCATGAGGACAGATCATCATGTGGAAACACTGAAGCAACATCTGAAAACCAGGAAGCTGGACACAAATGTGTCTTAATGGACAATGTCCCTCAGGAGACAGACACATTAAGGTAAACCACGTCAATGTTTTGGAGCATCCGTGCCCGAGTCCTGATCTTAGTCCCATAAATAAAAAACGACAAACCTGACTCAGGTCCAGCAGTTCTGTCAGAAGGACCGGGACTAAAGTTCAACAAACTGATGTAGAAACACAAAACATCTGACCCGAGTCAGAAGCTTTGAACACAACCACACCAAACACACACACAATGTGCTTTAAAGAAATTCAATTTAAAAAATCTCACATTAGTTGGTAACCAATCAAAACAGTAGGAATCTTAACTGACCTAAACCAAGAACGGTTTAGTTTAATGGCAGACAGTGAGGGGAAAAACGGTTTCTTTAGTGTTTGTGAACATCTGGTTTTAACTAAACTGCTTTTAGAACCTTTTCTCCCATCCAGATGGTGTTTATTTCAGGGAAGACCTTGCAGATTTCAGCAAGACGATGTTAAACCACAAACTGCATCCATTCAAACCAAAGAGTTCAGGTGCTGAACGGACCTGCCTGCAGTCCAGACCTCTCGCACAGTGAAAACATTTGGTGCATCATGAAATGAGAAGTATCCTGAAGAACTTCAACTGGTCTGCTCAGGTCCTCGAAAACCTCAAACTGGTCCCCTCAGGTCCTCTAAAACCTCAAACTGGTCCCCTCAGGTCCTCAAAAACCTCAAACTGGTCCCCTCAGGTCCTCTAAAACCTCAAACTGATCCCCTCAGGTCCTCTAAAATCTCAAACTGGTCCCCTCAGGTCCTCTAAAACCTCAAAATGGTCTCCTCAGGCCCTCTAAAACCTCAAACTGGTCCCCTCAGGTCCTCTAAAACCTCAAACTGGTCCCCTCAGGTCCTGAATGTACAAAAACTGTTAGAAGAGCAGATGCTTCACAGAGAAATCTGGAAGATCTTTAAACAGACATGTTGCTGCCACTAAATGCAAAGAAAATCTTTATTATCTCAATTTTTGTCCAATGTCTTGGTTTAAACATTTGATCTTTTCTCTGTTTGACCGAAAATAAAATATGGATTTGAGAGATTTGCAAATGATCCTATTCTGTTTTTAGACAACATCTTAACTTTATGTTCTTTAGATATACACAAACTGAATAACTGTATTACTGTTCAAGCTTGATTCTAGTAAATGTGGTTACTACGTGAACTTCTTCTTTTAGCTGTTCCCTCTTCAGGGGTCGCCACAGCGAGTCAGCCTCCTCCTCCTCCGTCCTCACTCCAACAACCTCCATGTCTTCTCGAACTGCATCGAACACCATTTAATCGTTTCTAACATCCTACCACTGTCCCTCCTCTGGACATGTCCAAACCATATCTGTCCTCTCTAACTTGGTCTCCCAGTTGTTCAACCTGTGCTGTGCTCTGATGAGCTCATTCCTAATCTTATCCATCCTTGTCACTCTTAAGGAGAACCGGTACTTTTGTCCATGTCTCTGTCTCCAGACCATACAACACAGCTGGTCTCACCACCGTCTTGTAAACTTTTCCCTTGTTACAAATCACTCCTGAAACTCTTCACCTCTTTACCACACTCCCCGTGTTCCTGGACAGTGGACCCCAAGTCCTCCAAGTCCTGCAGCTTCGAGTCCTTTGTGCAGTCTCACTGTTCCACCCGTCTCCCTCTCATTCACGCACGTCTTGAAAAAGGTTTGAAAGCTCAATCATCCAGATAAATAAAGGTTAAATCATGTTATCTGGACAGTTGCCCTTTTTTTGTGACACTTCTTGAAATGGCTGACCCCATGTTAACGTGAGTGGAAAAGGAGCTGATCGATCATGTTATCTCCATCTCTGACAGCCTGTGGGAACCAGAAACTTCTCTGTACCTTGTAGACGTCTCCATATGTGCCACTTCCCACCCTCTGAATGAGCTCGAAGTCATGTTGAGGGTTCTTCCTCTGAATTTCACCACTCGGTCGGGGAAAGATATCCATGACAGCTTGAAGCGCACAGACCCTTTACATCTAGGTGGCTTGACTCAATGTGGTGGTTTACTGAGGCACAGGTCCAAATGGGTCGATCAGAACTACTCAGACGGCCCCTCTCCGTACTCCATGTCCTGCGAGAGCAAAGGTTTGAGAAGAAAATGGGAGTTTAAAAACCCAATTCTCTTAATAAAGTGAACAGAAACAATAAACAGTGTATTAGAGGTAACATTTATTTAACATTTGAAGTTAAAAAGTGCCTTGCTTTAATGCAGAGTCACAAAAATATCAGAATCTAGTGAATTACTTTAACTTAAAACTGTGGCCGTTCCAGCAAATAGCCAGAGCCAGCCACGAAAACTGCGGCCATTCCAGCAAATAGCCAGAGCCAGCCACGGGCTTAGCAACAGGGCAAAGCGGCTAATGCTAACGGCTAGCGCGCAAAGCTCAACTTCGCTCTACGTCTGGCTCTAAACAGCCACAGTGCTTACCTTTCACAACAGAAGCACGACAATTATGAACGTCTTGCATTTTTTAATCGTCTCCAAGCTTTAAAGTTTGCGGTGGGGTCGACTAGCGATGCGAAAAGCGCAGCGGAGCTCCTTTGTTATCGAGGAAACTGTAGTAAACTTCGTGCTGCTCGGTGAGTCCGCCTCAGAGCAGCACGGACCGAACCGCGGCATCAAGTTTGAACGCAGTCATGTCATTTTCCTCCGGGGACAGTTTCAGACCGGTGCCAGGCTCCTGTATATAACCCTGAAAGAAAATTGTGTGAATAACCGATTTAAAAGTGAGTTTAAAGGGAAAAAGGTCCTGTTAAAACGCGACGTCTACAGAGTCGACAGTTACTAGACTTTTATGCTGCGTTCATGCTGCCTCGGAAAAGCTGGCATCTCGACAGAAAAAGTAGACGTCATTTTTAGTGCTACATCCGCAGTCCAGAGAATAAAAAAATTAAAACGCGACAGCATTTCCTCAAGAATGTGCTCCTTCGCTGAGTAGCAATTTGTCCTTTAACCTGAGTAAAATATTGAATTCACGGCTTTCGATGTTGTTAATGTTGCTTTTGTTTAAATACCCTGTCATTTCAAAATAGGTTGAGACTAAATGTTATTTTTTATCAGATGTATGGCTTTACACTGTATGTGTACATAAATTACACAAACTGTAAAATAATCGTTTTTAATTGTGCTTTTAAATATAATGTTGATATATTACCCTAAGGTTCTCGGTTGTTACATGTAATATTTACGTAGGGTACATGAAGGTAGCATATGTTCCAAGGTTTGTGTAATTGCTCCACCTAGGGGCAGGAAACAGAACTGCAGCTAAATGTTTTTTAATGGCTGTCGTAGCAAACGTGTTGGTTGTAGCTGCAAATTTAAAGCCAGTTAATGTTTCCCGGCTGTGGGATCTGCATGAGTCCTGCAGGAACCAACCAATAAAATTTAAATCTTCCCGTGTGGAGTTTGCATGTTCTTCTCGTGCTTGCGTGGGTTTTCTCCGGGTACTCCGGTTTCCTCCCACAGACCAAAAACATGCTGCCTTCAGCCCAGGCCTCCCTTGCTAAAGAGATCTGTGATCTCAGTGAGATTTGCCTGGTTAAATAAAGGTTAATAAATAAATAACATAGACTCTAATAGCAAATCACAGAACATTCTACGCTAACAGGGCGAGAATTTGTGCCGCCATTTTGATAGATGCCATTTGTGGTAGGCCTTACCTACCAAGTGCTTCACCTTTTCCATCCACATTCTGATGTTACAGTCAGGGGGATTTGAAACTGCGACCCTCTGATGACAAGCTTGCAAAAGGCTAATAAACGCATTAAAAATTTATCTCTGAATAGAAAAACACTAACTTAAAGCATCAAAAGGCTAGCTTAAACTAAAAGTACCCAAAATATGGTTTAAAACTAAAAGTTGCAATATGCTAACTAGAAGCTAAAAGTAAGAAAAGCCTGGCTAGAAGCTCAAAGTAAGAGAATAGTAGCTGAAAGCTAAACACATGAGAAGACGAGCGCTCTCAGGACATTATTACCTGCAGTGTCCCCTCAGTGAGGTCTGAACTTGGCAAAAGGACCTTCTCCTACTCCGCTCCTGGTTCCTGGAATATCTTGCAATAAGATCTGAAGCTCTCGACCTTGACCTCTCTAAGTGGCTTCAAACATCTTCTAAGTTCTTGGGAAAACCAACACAGACACGTTCTTTTTAGTTTTCTATATCGCCTTACCTAGCTGCTTTTTTGTTACATTTTTAATACCATTCTATTTTCACTTGTTATTCTTTATGATCGTTCACTGTTGTCTTCACTCTTTGTTAAAATCAGGTCTCTCTTGTAAATGAGTCCCCGAGGCTCAGTGGGATTTACCTGTGTAAATAAAGCTTGACTGAACAAGAATAAAGTTGGCTGAAGCAGATTTTAAAGAAAAAAAAATGTTTTGAGATGAGATTTGTAAGAATAACTGAAACATATAAAAGTTACAAAAAAACAAGTCAGCATCAGCTAAACCTAATGTGGACAGCTTGACCCACTAGGAGACCCAGACTCGGTTTGGAAAGTTTAGGGAGGTGAAAGATGTGGAGCTGCAGCCCAGGATGGGCGAGGACGGTGTTTCTTATAAAACCTTCGGCTACATCAACATTTCAGATGCTGATCTGAAGAAATGTTTGACGGTTCTTAACAAATCCAAATGGAAAGGAGGAACTCTGGAGACTGAAGCAGCCAAGGAGCGTTTCCTGCACAGGTTGGCTCAGGAGCAGCAGGAAGCAGCAGAGCAGCGTCTCCATCGATCTGCAGCTGAAAACAAGAAGCTTTTGGACTCGCTGAGCAAAGCAGGAGTGGACAACTTCTCCGTGAAGGCTGCGGTACAGAGGACACAAGTACCGGGACACAAGGTTCGTTCATCCTATACTTCCTGTTTGACTCCAGACCTGAACGAGCCGGAAGTGCTGAATGTTTTTAGGTTCAGAGCAGTTTGAATCAGAAGCTCAGACATAATTAACCCAAGATCTTCAAACTCTGAGTTTCTGGACAAGACTGAAAACAAACCACATGATCAGGTGTCAAATGTAGTTTAATACAATCTCAGAAGAACGACATGAAAATATTACATCACATCTACAGCTTCATGTTTGTCATGAACACAAATACATCTCCAACTTCCTGTTTCAGATCTGGAGTTTCAAACTGATCAAAAAGGTTGAACTTTGTTTTCAGCAGGAGGAACATCAGAGCTGCTGCTGGACCACTGACATCTCCTCTGGTTGTATTTTTAGTTGAACTGCAGTATGAATGTACGGAAACATCTTGTCAGTGAAGGTGTGTGTGAAGGTGTGTATGTGTGTGTTTGTATCAGGATCAGAGAACGACAGCTTTCCTCTGTTCCAGTCCAGATTCATTCGGATCCTCTGGAACGTTTTATGAACTGGGAGATATTTGGGAAGAGCTGCTGGTGGCCATGCTCTGTATTCACCTCGAGTGAACCACAAACTCCATAATCCAGATGATATGGCTCTCTTCCTCTGGGCTGACTCTGCTACCACACCAAGTGTCCACTCTCCACTTTCTCCAACTTCAACAACCCACCTGTGATTTCCTGAGTTGAAACCCTCAGAACTCAAAACAGAAAACCGTGAATTTAATCTCTCAGGATTATTAGGAAGCTGCTGGTTGTATCTTCGTCTCACACTGGTCAGATCTTCAGACAGGACAAGTCCTGGACCAGCGGTGTTTGGGTCCAGGATGATGGGGGTGTAGGAGACCATGTCCTTCATGTTGTTCCAGATGTTGAAGGCCAGGTTGCCCAGATGTTTGGCCTGGTCTATCAGAGCTCCTGAGGGCAGCTGTGGATCCTCCAGCAGGGAGCAGCGCTGGACTCTTCCCACCGCAGCCTTGTAGTTGTGCAGGAAGGAGACGTCTTCAGCTCTCAGCTCCTCCTCTGTGGCTCTGACTGTGTCTGAAAGAGCTGCCATCTCTCTGCTCAGAGCCTCCATCTTCTCCTTCATCATCCCACTCTTCTGCTCCTCTTCCTCCCTCAGAGCAGCCAGCCTGGCCTCCTCTTCCTCTGTGAGAAACTGGTGAAGCTTCTTAAACTGCTCCTTAATCTGCCTCTCTGTGAGTCGGGCCTGGACCTTCACGTGTTCTGCTGTCTGATCAAACTCAGACTGAACTTTCTTCTGGACCTCCAGTTTCTTCTTCAGTGGTTCCAGGGATCTCAGCAGATCCTCTCTGTGTTTCTCTGCAGCTTCATCGATGGGTCTGAATCTGTGGTCGGTGTGTTTCTTTGAGTCTCTGCAGACGAGACAAACTGGTTCCTGATGGTCCAGACAGAAGAGTCTGAGTTTCTCAGAGTGCAGACTGCAGAGAGCCTCTGAAAGACTCTGATGTTCCTCCTGTAAGAAGGACTCACAGAGGTTCTTCAGAGCCAGATTAACTGGTGGATCCACATTTGAAGATCTCTTCCTACAAACAGGACACTCCTGTGTTGGTTTCTCTCTCCACCAGTTCTTCAGACAGACTTTACAGAAGCTGTGGCTACATGACAGAAGAACAGGATCTCTGAAGACCTCCTGACAGACCGGACAGCAGAGATCCTCCTCGGACCTGGAAGCCATTTTGACTCTGAGTGAAGCTGAAAGCAGCAGACAGGAAGTGCTCAGTCATGGCTCCCCTCCTCCTCTAAAGTCTCTCAAACTGTCTCTGAATGAGTTTTTGCTCCGACTCACCTTCAGGTTGAGCAGCTCCAAGCAGAAGGTTTTCTCTCCTGCAGCTGGACTCAGAAGAAGCTGAGAGTTTGGTCTGAAGGTCCGTTCCGATCGGCTCCGAGTGTCTAATCTGCTTCCTGGTTTATTTCAGGTGAACCTTCAACCTTTAGTCTCTGTTGTAACTCAGGTGTGTTTTATATCCCAGAATTCAACTTTACAGCTGATATAAAACTACCTGATAAAGAAAATCTATATATTTTTTATTTTCACAGTTCAGACCAGGCTAGGATCAGTCAGCAGGTCAAAGGTCATGACCTCTTCTCACTAAAAACAACATGGCAGGGGAGAAATTCCAGGAAGTAAGCGGTGGATTTTAATAACTACAAAATAAACTGAAAAAAATCAACGCTCAGCATGCCGAATCAGAATGTCACACAAGTGTAAAGCCGACATAAATGCTATTTTATCTACATCTAAACACTAAAGTCCATCCAACAAAGTTAACCCTTGACAAAAAGTAGTACATTTGAAGTTTATTTTTGCAAGTATACGTTAAGTTAAGTATAGCAAGTATATACACACCATACTTGTAGTGTACTAGAAGTATACTGATTTAATACTTGTTTGGACTAAACTGGTACATTTTTATACTGTTTTTAAGTATATTAAAAAAAGTTTATAAAAAGTACACTTCAAGTGCACTTCCTGATTTTTTGTGTAAAACAGGTATACTTGTAGTATAATTAAATAAACTACTTTTTGCTAAGGGAAGTCAGGTCCTCTGGACGGTCTCTTTTAGTTAAAAATGAGTTTTGTTTGTTCATAATCCGTCCAGAGGACCTGACTAAACTTGTTTGGATTTTTCTACCTGGAGTATTGATCATGAACCTTAATACTAAAGTCCATGTTTTAGGCTTCTCACAGTTTGGAAGGCGTTAGCACCTAGAAAGATGGCGCCGTCTCTTCTCGTGCATCTTAACGGGAACGTCCCGCCGCAGCGCCCCCTGGCGGCGGCCCTGATACCTGCAGAGCTGCTGCAGAAGCAGCGTCGTCGTTCTGGAGACTCGGGGCATCCTGACCCTCCCTGCTCCACACGCTCATGACTGCCGACTAGGAGTGCTCGTTCACGCACAAACCGAGGGACAAAAGGACCGCACGATGTCCAAACACCGTCCAGACAGAGACAGCTGGGGTGAGTGCGCGTGCAGCGCTTCAAATTACACCCAGCACGTTCCTCCTGTTCGACTCCATCATTAATTTGTTGTTGTCCTGGCGTCTGGTTGTGATGCAGCAGGATCTGGTGTGCAGGTTTTTCTCTGCTGGCAGAAAAAATAGAACATTTTTAAGGTGCTGTCGGTGAAAAAGAGCTGATTCCAGTTCTTAGCTTCAGGTGGGACAGGCCAGATCCACAAAGGTTGAAAAATCTCTTATTTACAACGTTTAGCCCTGTGGGGTTTATTTGATGCTCTGTGGCATCAAATTATGTAACATTGCATCAGAAAACATATTCTGACATCATCTGCTCCATAATCATTCCTGCCGCCATCACTGTCACCTCCTTCATCATGGAGCACCCTGATCTGAGGTGGAGGCCTGAAGGACTGTTGGAGAAACCAGGGAGAAGGTGGACCTCTGCTGAGAGCTGGTCTGTTCTGACCCACTTACTGCAGCAGGTCGAGCAGATCCTCTGCAGGGAACGACCCAAACCCCAGAACCTGACGCGCCTCTGAACAAACCAAGGAATGCATATCGCCCGCCTGAATTGGAGAAACGCTGTTTTTGCTCAAGCTCTGAAAGCCCCGGCCGTGTCGTGTTCTACTCAGAGTATGTGAATGACTCTCAGCTACTACCACACCCGGTTTTAGCTCAGTTGCTGTAAAACGGACTAAAATATAACCATTTATGTGTAGTCATGCTGCGGGCCATCTGGACTCCAAAGAGTAATCATGTGCATCTGTTGAGTACATTGTTTAAGCTTCATTCGTTCCAGTGGTTTATGAGATATTTTGCTAACAGACGCAGACCCTGTTTGCTACTTTGAGCGTCTGCCCGACTTGTTGTATCTTCACCGACTCAGTTCAAGCTTCTTCAGCAGCAGTCTCACTGACTCCTCTAGTTTCTGATCACCCATCCTGGATCATGAAGACGGGCAGGAACCGTCATGTCCTCCGTCAGGACGGCCTGCGAGCGTCCACGCTGCACAACATGAGACAGCAGAAGCTGCTCACGTGCAGCGCTGCTTCTCAGAACGCTCTAAATGCACACGAGCTTCCTGGATGTGAACAGATCCGGTGATCTGATTACTATTGATTATTGCCCGCTGCTGAAGACTTCACATCTGTCTGTAGTGTTAGCAAAATATCTCATAAAATCCTGAAGAGATTTTAAATTCAGTTCAATTCAGTTTATTTATATAGTGCCAACTCTCAGAAAATAGTCCCTGTGATGGACTGGAGACATGTCCAGGTGTCATTGTGATGGACTGGAGACCTGTCCAGGTGTCCCTGTGATGGACTGGAGACATGTCCAGGTGTCATTGTGATGGACTGGAGACCTGTCCAGGTGTCCCTGTGATGGACTGGAG